CATCTTAGAGGGGCTGTTTCAGAAGATTTGCACCTGCCCAGAATGGCAACAATAAAAATCATTCATAAAGATTGTAATATTTAATTACAATGTTCCTCCATACCCGTTTGGTATATGTACTATTCTTCTTCACTACGAGAGTTTTACCTCCATTAGAACATGGTAAAGTGAAAAAGAACAGCCAAGTCCTCAGGAGTTTGGAACTAGTCTCACAATAACCTCATGGTTTGTGGCTCAAAATTTGGCTTTTCAAAATCTAGAATTTTAGGTTTTTAGGCAATGGAATTAAGAAAAAGAAAAGAAAACCAAATACCAAAGTTCGAATAGACCATAGGGCACAATACGCTATTGCAAAGAAGTTTTAAAACCTATGTATAATCTTCCTCTGTCTTTTCTCCCTTATCTAGACAGAATGAGCACTTAGAAAAAAATCAGTTAAAAAATGGCAAATTTCTAGGAAACAAACTTGTAGAAAGTAACGATACAATAGGGTTGCTTTACCCAATAAGAATACTTCAAAGGAACACCTCATTTGGTAATCTATAATCCTCTAAGCAACCTGTTCTCCTAGCATAATACCCCTAGGAAGGAAGATACTTCTTAAGAAACATGTACATTTGGCAAACCATAAAAGCTTTCAAATAGCAGGTTGACCTTCTCCTCCCTAGTTGGCAGTGTTTTCTTTACGGGACCATCTAAGAAAGATCTGTTACATGCATACACCTCCTCTACTACCTTTCAAAAAATTTTCTGGGGATTTAAAAAAATTTAAAAACCCATTAGAAAGGTGATTCACATGTGTTATCTTGGTCTTTACTCAATCAATAAAGGCCATTACAAATGGAATAATAATAATTATTATCAGTTCTTAATAATGAAGATAACAAATCAAGAACTTCTAAACTAAGAGGATTTAGAATCTCTGACACTATGAAGCAAATGATTCAGAAATAACTCAATACTAGGCACATAGTAAAAATGACTTGTTATGCTAGGTTTTAAAGTAGCAGCTTGGATCTTAGAAAGGGCGAATCAGTACCATTTACTTCTTTTGTTCACCTTGTAAATGGGTTGGGCCATTGCCAGAAATGTGAGTTCTTGGGAGAGCCATTTAAATCTTCAAATAAATTGATTCAATATTCTAATAAATTACTCCAATGATTAAAATTTAAAATCAGTCTACTACACTTGAGTTGATCTTAAAAAAAAATATCCATCTTTGGGAAGAGAGAGGTAGAAGTCAGTCTGGATTAATAGAATTTACAGTTCAGTCATGGTGAATTTAAAAAATACATTTTTCTTTCAATAATTATTTTATGTTCTAAATGAGGTAAAATTTATAAAATCTGCATTAAAGTAACATTGAGGGCACTCTGGTGATAACAATGATGAGGTTTATTTTTGTCACAATGTCCAAGAGAAACATTAATTGCTGTTTGTCAACTGCAAACTTCACACTACACTGTCCAAGGATAGAAAATTAATGGACATCACTCTGTTAGAGAATCCTCACAAAAAAGCCAAATTCAAGGAATATGAAATTGTCAAGGCTTTCAAACAAAGATCTGCTGAGGACTTCATTGATGTCATGATAGGTCATTTGGGTTACAATATATAGGGATGATATGAAACACAATCCTTTCCTGCCTATCCTATTTTAGAAACCTATGGGTGTGCTCACATTTGCCTAGGTAAAATCGTACACATACATGAATCAAGCAAAGTATTAGAAAGTATTGACATATGAGATTAAAATAAATAAGAGAAATGAGCTGCTCTTTATACCTAGAAATAGCTTGAAACTACTGAAAAAATGTAATGGATAGAGATTTTCACTTTAGCACCATGAATTGTGATGAAATCCCATTTCTCTCACTCTGGCAGGACTGTATGCAGGTAGAAAGCTAGTGACAAGTTTGAGGCAATGTAGATTTCTGCTTCAAAAACAGAAGCCATGTTGTAATATTAGAACAATGGGGTACAGTGAGTAAAATTTGCAAAGCATTTCTTCTTTGCTTTTCTTCTCAGGTGGATTTTCCTGAATTGGGGGTAGCAGTTGCAGGAGTACTTTTTGGTAGAGGAAATCCAAGTCCTAATCCTTTTGGCCTCTGCATGGCTTGAATAGGCTCAGAGATCCCCTTGCCATCTCGTCCAAGGCCTGACCCAGGTGTCCAGCCCATATTCTGAAGCATTCGGTTTCCAATGTTATTTTCGAGGATTGGCTGAGCATTTTCACCTACAAATCCTGAAATGATAAAATGACAATATATGTTCATTAGTATGGACACAGGTGAAGATCTTCTTAAGCTAGTAAACCATGTTCTCCTAAGTTTTTTGTTTTGAGTAAGGCACCAGGGAGGGTTGTTTATTTATCTTTGGATTCATCTTTGGAAGAAAGATCTTGCATGGTCATTCCATGAGAAATATATTTCTTTATAACTAAAACATCTAATAAGAACGCTCCCTCCTCCAAACAGATCATGTCTTTCATTCTCTATGAAGTTTTCATCACGTAGGGAAAAAAAAAAAAGAAATTGGTTTTATATTAAATTTCCATTAT